GCTAAAACCCTTCTCCTCAGCCAATCCCCACCCTGCTTCCGTATCTTTCTATGTATGTGTGGCCCGTTAGGTTAATTAGTGCTGCTCGCAGGAGTGGGAGTGGGAGTCTGTTTATTGAAGCGTGGAAAACTTATCCATGTGACTGAAGAAAGCGACACCCTTCCCCCTAGGTAACCAATAGTCTCTCAGTGTTGTAAGGAGAGCCACTTGTTTGTTCCCGACTGCTCAGCCCCAAAATAATCACACAGAAACTATATTACTCAAAACACTGCTTGGCCAATGACTCTAGTGTATTTCTGGCTCACTCATCTCTTATACTAACTTATCTCCATTATTCTGCGCATTGCCACATGGCTGTGGCTTACTGGGTAAAGTTCCGTCCAGCATCTGTCTCCGGCAGGGGCCGCATGGCTTCTCTAAACTCCGCCTTCTTTCTCCCAGCATTCAGGTTAGTTTTCCTCACCTAGTTCTGTTCTACCCTATCAGGCCAAGCCAGTTTCTTTATTAACCAATGGTATTCACAGAATACAGAGAAGAATCCTACATCACCTCAGGAGGGCTGGGACCTCACAAGACCTTCCATCTCCCATGATGAAATGGTGATGGGCATAATCTAGTGTCAATAAGAGCAGCTACAATGTGTTTACGGGTACCACATCCATGTCATGTCCAAAAGGGGTCCTTTTTGGGCACTCCTCCCTGTCCTCCATCTCTTCCGTTCTTTCTGTCTCCTCCTCTAGGATGTTCCTGAGGCTTGGTATTTTAACCAGTTATAAGTCTCTGCATTAACTGTTACCAGCCATAATAAGAAGTTTCTCTTAGGAAGGTTGAAAGCATTGCCAATCTATGGATATAAACATGACTACTTAGAATACAGTTCAATCATATGTCTGTTTAGCAAAATGATAGATAGTATTGGATTCCCTCAACAGCATACAGTTTCCCTGGCCATCAGCTCTTGACCAGGTTCATGGTACCAGGCAAGAGTTCCTTCCTGTGGTACAGCCTCTCATCCCATTAACAAGTAGTTGGTTATCTACCATAATATCCATGCCACTATTACACACCTTACCAGGCCTGATCTTACTGTAGCTCCAAGGAGTCAAGGCTGAGTGATGACTTTTCTCCCCAGAAGCCTGCAGAGCACCTTCTGACACCATGAAAGGCCATGTCCTAGTTACTTTTCTATTGCTGTAATGAGACTCTACGGCCAGCGTAACTTATAGAAGAAAGCATTTAATCGGGGGCTTGCATACTGTTTCAGAGGCATAATACATGATCATTCTGATAGAAAGCATGGCATTGAAGCAGGAGTTGAAAGCCAACATATTATTAGCAAGATGGAGGCAGAGGAGGGAGATTGGACCTGGTGTAGTCTTCTGAAACCTCAAAGAGCGCCCCCAGTGACACACCTCCTCCAACAAAGCCACACCTCTTAATCCGGCCTTAATAGTTTACCCACTGAGAACCAAAAGTTAAATACGTGAGCCTGGAAGCCATTCACATCCAAACCACCACAGCCTGCTACTGGTAAGGAAGCTTCCAGGCCAGATCCAGATCCAGGGAACCCAATACCTACATTCAGCATTCATAGTGTGAGGTTTCTGCAACAGAGCTTTACCATGAAGTTCTCATAGGCAGCAAGGTCAATGGCAGTAGGCTGGTTTGTTTTGACCACAGTAGCACTTCCTTAACCGATAGCTCCTGGGGAAGACCCCGTATCAGCCCTAGAAATTTTCTTTAATAACCTATAGCTTCTAGAAGGAGCATTATCCCCTGCCATGCCTTTTTTCGTTTCAACTTTTTAAGACTGTATTTAATTAGCGTATAAAAATAGGTCCCCGTGTGACTTTCCACACTTTCTTAATGCTCCACATCCCTCCCGGCAGATTCTCCCAATCCTTCCACCCGGCAGATTCTCCTAATCCTTCCACTCTTAAACCTTTCTTCCTCTAGGATCCTCTTTCCACTTTCCTAACGTGTTCTACCCCCTCCTTTAAACATGGTATCTGGTCATGCCAAAAACATAGCAAAATGTTTACTCAATGAAAAGGAGGAGCCATTTACCTCTCAATTAGTCTTGCTTTGAGATTTGTCTAATGTCATTACCAACTTCACAGGTGAAAATATTCACATGGTAGCTGCTGCCTGAAGCCCTAGGCATCCAGCTGAAAAGAGAAAAATTCGTTGAAGCCTATTTTTAAAAAGTCTCTTCGTTAGTGCAAATAGAATCTAAGACGGTTTAGAAGAAGCTGTGAGTTAGCCAACTGTTTCCAAACCTAAGATGTTTTAGGAACTTGGATATTCAGTAATAAGCTGCCTACAGGAAAGGGTTTTCTACCGTGTACTGCACGTGCTGATTGGTTGGAATGAGACCCTGAATTTATGGTTCCAATTATTAAGAAAATGTAGGACCTTCTGTCTGAAATATTGAAGGAAAAGGTGGATTGAATTCAGGTCCACAGACTTGGTGGCAAAAGCCTTGACCTGCTGAGCCATCTTGCTGGCCCTGCTTTGTCGTTCTAGTAAGGGACAGATAGCCTCATGTCCAGCATTGTCCCCTCTTATCAAGTCTTGACAGAGTAGGAGCTCTGGAGAGTGTTCATAGAATGCACTTTGGACCCTTGGTTCCCTGTAAAATCATTCAAGAGTTTCTCACTATCCTTTGAGTATAAATCGAACTCCTTACCATGAGTCTCGTACCCTGTGTGAGTCCGGTGCCCTGAGGGAAATGAGAACAGCAGTGTAGGCTGTGGACTGCACAGTTTAGATCTCAGCCTTTGGTTTTCAAATTGCTCATTGTCTATGACTCAGTTCCCTCATCTGTAAAATGGGGGTGGGGGAATAATACTGCTTATGTCATAAAGTCAATGAGATGTTTTATCTTAAAGCTTCAATGAGATGATATATCTTAAAGGTTCATACGCATTGACTGGAGTATAGACCGTAAGGCTACGATAAGCTAAGCTACCTACAGCATCCACACTTGCTGAGCAGACGTTTTCTTATGTGGGTTTGCTCAGAGAGTGCCTGCTAGTATGTGTGCCCCCCTCCAAACTCCATCCCTGGCACCCCCAAACACCAATAACAAACCAGAGTCCCTATTGTAAAAAGACTCATTTTTGTGTTTGCTTCCTTTGGTCGTCCCCATCCCTTCCCCTCCCCCTTCCACATCAGTCTGTGTAGCCTTTAAGTATGACTTGGTTGTAAAGCAGAGTCAAAGTGGGCAATTTGAAAGTTAATTTAATAAAAGATGCCCTCCAGCCAACCACCAGGGGCAGCATCTCCTCCCTGGGTGAGTGGGGATTCTGCATCTACCACATCGCTGAAATCTTGGTCTGTTTCCTAGCCCTTCCCATAGAGACCACTGTCTGGGGAGTCTAGTCCCGTAAACCCTAACGGTGGAACTCATTGGATAAAGACAGCCCTGTGGCATACAAGCAAATTAAAACAGTCACAGTTTGCTGTTGTGCTTTGCAAAAATAACATCAATAAACAATCCCCCTCCCCTTTTAAAAAGGCTCTTAAGAGCAGTCTTCAATACATTTCTAAAGAAAAACTACCCATCCGTACGCTATGTGGCATTTTAAAGATCTTTGGAACAGAAGACAAAAGGAACCAAGGAGCTTTCCCCTCCCCTCGTCCCTTAGGGTTTTATGAGAACCCAGTGTATAGAATAAAAGGGGAAAAAAAAGTCACAAACACACAGACTTTTGTATTTCCTCATCACCTGGAACTTGCCGGGCTTTGGACGAGTTACTGTCATTTTCAGTCTTGTTTGAGTCACTGAGCTGCCTGCCCCCAGAGGCGCTTCCTCATGATTCAGTGCAAAGGACTGAGCCGGCTGGGGCTTCCGGAGTGAGGAGTGAGTGTGTGTCTGGTGGGGGTTGCGGTGGCAACGCGTTGGCATGAGGCTTAATTGACACCTTTGATGTAGCCTAAGACAGAACCCGCACCTCCCACTGCCGCGGGGGAAGACGTCAGCCTTACGCAGGAAAAGGCATCTGCTGATGAATCCTGCATCTCATTCAGCCTGCTCCTGAGCAGCCTTAGCTGTCCCTAGCTAGTTCAACTGCTTCCCTCGGTCTGCGGGTGCGGGGCTTGGTCTGAGAGGAGGCTTGGGCTCGGGCTGTTGTCAGGACAAACACTAAGACTGTGTCCATGTTAGAACTCATAGAAGGTAAGTGGAATGCACCCCCGGCTCTCCCCCAGGGCACCCTCGAGGATGGGTGTTTCTCCTGCCTGAGTCTTCTTGTCTCTCTATCTGCAGGGTTGCCAATGAGTGGCAGCCTCTGATGTCTTTATAAAATCATGTCTTGGGTGGAGGGAGGGAGGGGATGCGTGTGTTCTCAGAGGTGGTGTTGGTTAGAAAAAAAGATTTGCCTGCTTCTGAAGCTTCATCGAGGTTTACTGACAGTGTTTTCTACGACTTAAGTGTTGAGTAAAATTCCCAAGTTTGGGACCTGTTGGCAGGCTTTTTATCAGTTCAGTAGCAACCAAGACAAACTGTGTGGGGTTTCTGTGCATCTGTGGGCAATTATTTTGTCCTGTTTGAGGCAGACCCATCAGAATCTGGTTGGGCTAGGGGGATAGACAGGACATAAATGAGTATAGGAATGTGCAAAAGTCTCTGGGAATCCCACCTGGGAGTTGTTTCAACATTTTCTCCCACTGGGCAACTAAACTAAAGACACACACCAAAAATGCCTCAAAGCCTTGAACACATTCATGAATATCTGTCTTGGTTCAAATAAAGCCATCACTGGAAAATTATGCAAAGTACATCTTTTTAAATTATGTAACCTGCTACTGTGTTAAACCCAAGATTAACAGAACAGTGAATGTCTGAGGATGGCTATTCCCTAAAGCTTTGCTTCACGAGTCGGATGATGGGTCTAATTTTTAGCCGATGTCCCTTCTCTGTTTATTTCCTGATGAACTGTCATGAAAAGTTCTTTAATGTGCTCTTTTTCTCTGTGTGTGATTCCTTCTCTTTCCAGTCAATGGAACCCCTGGTAGTCAGCTCTCCACTCCACGCTCGGGCAAGTCACCAAGTCCATCCCCCACCAGCCCAGGAAGCCTGCGGAAGCAGAGGGTAAGGGCATGAGCAAGCCACCTATTTAAGAGCTGTCTTGGTTTCGGTGCGGAGTGGTATGGATGCCAGCAGAAAGTGCTGCTTCTCTGGAGGGAAGGGGGTAAGGGGTAACCCGTGTGCCACTCGCCATTGCTGTGACTCAGGTAGAACCCAGGTCTCTCAGTTTCCACAAATTTGTCCACTTTTAATTCTGAGTAACATGGACCCTTGCTGCTTCTGTTTTAAATGCCTCTTGTTTGTTCATAATGCATTACTTTATTATGTATGCCAGTGTCCTTAGTGTAATTAGTGTCACTAGATACTGCCATTAATCACCAGCCCCTTGAAGGACAGGCACAGCCAAAGGAGGCAGCATCCTAGTGGGAAATTGCGCAGAGGCAAGCAGGGTGGTCCAGAGAAGCTGGAGGAGCCATGAAGCAGGGCGTGGGAAGGTAGGATGCCAGTTTTGTGAATGGACCCACACTGAGCACATCTTCTTGTGTTTATTTTTAGCCTCTCGTGTAATAGCAGAGAAATCAACTGAGCTCAGAGACAAGTGTGTAAAAGTAACTGGATAGGGTGTTAGCTTCTCCGGGTTAAGCAAGGGGGTGACCATTAATTCTTCATCTGGAATGAAAAGACTCAAATTCTCTTCACTCCCTGTGCTGCTCATCCATTCCAGTCATACTAAGGCCAGAAGATAAGAACTGGGAAAGGGAAAAGGGGAAGGGCAACTGGAAAATGTAGATGTGCCCCTCAGGGTCCTGCTTTCAGAAAAGAGGTAGGAGAATATGTATCCTTAGGTAGCTTGCATGATGGCACCCACTGAAATGGTTTAACAAACAGAAATCTCAGAAACCATTAAACATCAGAGTTTTAAAATTTAATTTCTCTTATTATGCATTTAAATGAAACTTCTAAATTTGATAAATTTAAGCTCATCAAATATGGAAGTCCCTCTCTTTCAAGTTTTCTACACAAGTTGGATCTTTAGGCTGCCAAAATCCATTAGCCATTTTTAAGTGGGGGGCCAAAAAGAAATCAGCTAGTCTGCAGTCATTTGAACCTCTTGTCCCAAATTTCTTTCTCTTCTGGTTCTCCTGGTGTTGAGTCACGCTTGTACAGTCTGCTAAAGCCTGTGGTTTATAACTGCTTCTCTAGTCAGTGGTGGGATCGTTAGAGAAATCTGTCTTCTATCCTGAGTGATTTCAGGAACCACTGATGCTGGTGCAGAATTGGCTACATGCATTCACTGTCTTAAGAGATTGTCCTTAGGCGAGGGAAGAGCCAGTGTGGCCATTCTGTGCTCACAAATGCCAGCTCGCAAGGTTCCACCCTGTAGACACAGCCGGAGATCTAGCATAGAGAATGTCTCAGGAGTGTCCTCTCTCTCCAAGTGTATGTGTGCTTCAGAGAACACACCTAGCAGAGGAACCAAAATAGCTTTAGATCCATTGAACTCAGCCTCAGACTTTACTGATCTATCTCAGGTTTAGTTGTTGAGACTAAATTCAGAACGATTGGGAATACTTGCCAGCTTCTCTCTCAAGGTGTTTGACCCCTCCATCTTGGGAGTAAAAAGTTTCGCTCAGTTGTCCTTTACTAGGAAAATGAGGTCAGAATTTGCATCTTTTTCTTCTTAGCTTCAGTGGGATTTTTTTTTCGTTCAACTGAGGCAGAAAAAATTCATCCAGCTTTGTAGGCATTGACTTACATAATTAACACTTTATTGTGGCGCATAAATAATTAGCAGGTGTGGCTCTCTGACAGATTTTTTTCGTCTTGCCATCTAAACCACCGGGTTGGCGCTATCACAGAGGAAGCCAAGATTCTCTCATTTACTTTTAGGAGGACAGAGAGTTTATCACCATCTGAAAACATTTATTAAACACATGTTGTAAGCAGGATACCAAACGCATTCAAAGATGGTTTAGTTTCTAGGCTTTTGAGTTTAGCTACATGTATTCCAAGACGGCTCTGTTTCCAAGCCTTTGAATTTATGGACGCCCTCCATCTCTGTACCATGGAGACATTTCCAGCTGCTTTGGTGAGAGGCACTTTCATCTTTTTGTGTTGACAACTGCATCGAATAACCCCTCCCTGTCAAAATGGGACCAGAATATCCCTTCAAACTGTTCCTGTTTCAAATTTGGTTATTACTCTTTTCAAATGGTTGGCTATTCTCCTGTGCAGGAAATGCTGAAATAAGTGAAAGATGGCCTGAACTAAAAGAAGACACTGCAAAGAATAAATTAATTCCTTTTATTGCAAATTAGAAAACAGTAGTCACTTCTATTTTTTCTTTCTGTGTTGCCTAGTAACATAGCCAAAAAGTAAGCTGGCAAAGCCATCCAGAGCCACACACATACACACACATGCACACATACACACACACACATACATACACATACACATACTTTAAATACAGGATCAGAGCTAATTTTTTAAAAGAATATGATATTGTTTTAAAAGTTAAAAAAATCTGTATTTTACTTGCATTAACTATGATTTAGGCTGTTTTCCTTCCCTTAAGATCATGTTTCTAAATGACTTCTTTTTGACATTTTAGAATAGTCATATGAGAGACACGTCAGCATGTCACAGCTCTATCTTCATAAACACACTGGAGACAGTGGACCCAGCGCCCTTCCTATATACACAAAGCACAATTAGTTAAGTCGCCACCTAGAAGTGTCTGCCTGGCCTGAGAAGTCAACTTCTGAGGCTCTTTTCCCATCCACGAATGTTTTTTGGACCCTTTTCTTAAGACATCAAGAAAAAATATGTGTTAAATGTGTTATGTTGTGTAGGTTGAATGAAGCTCCCCGTTACACCCCCACATCGCTGACTCTTGTGGATTAACTGATCCAGCAGAGGATGTAGGAGTGGGTGGCCCCAAACTGGAGAAAAACCAACTGTAGACGCTCTTGGTAGAACTATGCTGGTTGCTTGGCTACTAACACTGAGATAGAGTAGCAGACAGAGGCAGAAAGAGGCTGGGAAGAGATGGAGAAGGAGTTAGGAGCTAGAAGAGTAGTTGGGATGGGATAGGGATGTGGATAATGGAGATTTCTTCCAGTCACCCAAACATAAAACTGTGAAAGGACAAAGTGTGTTGGTTTTACACTGTGTATGTGCAACTACACACTGGAGTTACATCCCAGAATATCCTGAGTGCCAGCTGCTCATCTCATAAGTTATTTGGTGAGGTAAACATATTCTTCTACCCAGAAGACAAAGTCCACAGAATTGCCTAGGCACAGAATAGCATAGTTGATCTTGGCTGGCAGCAAGGGCCATATAACTCCACCTGGACATGATGGAAGGCAGGAAGGAGCCCCTGATAGCGCAGGGAGCATTTGTCATGCCAATGAAATGAAATCCTCACTCTGCCTGTGTTATCCTCTCTCTTATCCAAAGCTGATGAGTTGAGTAGTTCTAATGATGTTAGAAGCCAAGGACCCATCCCTTTCCAAGTTGCTCCTCGGGGAGCGACAGTGAACCTGAGAAAGATGAGTAAACAAATCTGTCCTGCCCTTCATCTTACAGGACCTGTACCGCCCCCTCTCATCGGATGATTTGGACTCAGTAGGAGACTCAGTGTAAAAGACACAATGGAGCGATATGTATGGTTTGTGATGGGATCAAGATTTCCCATTTTCTAAGCAAGCGTCTAACAGCAAAATACACAAAAGAGTTTTGCATAAATAAGACCTACAGAAACAAGCATGCAGACATTTTCTACCCATGGTCTTCTTATTTGGAAGAATTTTGTAAAGTTTCTCCTCCATTGGATATAACTGAGGAGAGTTTGAATACAATATTTGCTCCATCACTTTTTACGAGTAAGGTCTGGTTCCAGGCAAATTTCATATATGAATCTAATATTGAGTACAAGAACCACCCTGACAGTCCAACATTACAGAGCCCCCCTTTCTATAAATGAGCTTTCTTTTTAATCATCGTAGACATATAGGTACAATTTTTCTGCACTTAATATAAAACAAATTTAAGTAACAGTAGCAGGCATGTTTTTTCTAAAAGGTACACCCTTTTTTAAAAAAATCATATGGTTGTTTAGTTATTTTATTGTAAAATACTGCAAAACCTCTTCATGATTTTTCTGAATGAATGTCTCTGAAGAGGAGTAGGAGCTCCTGCAGGAGACGTCTCACAACTGACGTTAGGCAGAAAGAATCTTTTCTGCTTTTCCTGTCACATAGATTTTATTTTCCAACATTATCTTTTATAAAAAATAGTTTCAGCTACACAGAAAAAATGAAGAACTTGGCCTTATTATTAATTATACAATGCTTCCCTACAACACCAGCAGTACATTATATTTATATTTTTTTCAGCTGTGTGAAGTTTTTGACCTAAAAACAAAAATTGACTTGCTGTTTTTTTTTTTTGAAAAAAACAAAAAAACTCAGTTTAAGAATTGAAATTCTTCTAAATGGGGCTTATGTACATTTGGGCCTGCAGAGATCCAAAACTCCATTCTGATCATTCCTGGATCTTGTTTGGGAAATATTTATATGCAAAACTCCTTTTGTGTCAACCAAGTACGTCTATGATTATAACCCACTGTTAAATGTTAACCTACTAATTCCTCTCTAGCTCTCTAGTTTCAAGAGTGAAAGTCAGCTTTGCTTCCACGTAAAGCAATTATTTTTAAATCTGGATGTTAGAAATCAGTGCATATGGTGTATTGTATTTAGACCATACCCCGTGACCATTTCGTTTTACTAGCTCAAACACTAACAATTTAGGACTTAACGAAGCATGGATTTTATATTCTCCAGGCTTGACATATCTCAGTAGGGTGACAGATTTAAAATGTATGGTGCCACTTGGAGCCTTTTACTTGAAATTTCTTTCAAATTTTTCTTGAAAACAATTTGAAAATGCCTGATTCAAGATGGAGAGGAATTCCCTTGCCATACAGTTTCAAATGTTATTGATTTATTTCCCTCAGTAGACTGTTCAACTAGCAAATTTCCCCATCTGGTTTATAGTTA